GTGCTCGTGGTGGTGCTGGTGCTGCTGGTGCTGGTGCTGGTGCTGGTTGTGCTGGCGCTGGTGCTGCTACTGGTGCTGCGGCTGGTGCTGGTGCTGCTGTGCTGGTGTTGGTGCTGCTGTGCTGGTGGTGCTGGTGGTGCTGGTGCCGGTGCTGGTGCGTAGCTGGTGCTGGTGCTGATGGTGCTGGTGCCGGTGGTGGTGCGCAGCTGCTGCTGGTGGCGCGCAGCTGGTGCTGGTCGTGTTGGTGGTGCTGGTGCTGGTGGTGCTGGTGGTGCTGGTCGTGCTGGTGCTGACGCTGCTGATGCTGCTAGTGCTGATGGTGCTGGTGGTGCTGCTGGTGCTGGTGATGCTGATCATGCTATTGGTGCTGGTGGTGTTGGTGCTGGTGGTGGCGCTGGCTACCCCCGGACCATGCCCTAGCTCACCTCCGAGCCTGATTGGATCATATCGGATCATGAGGGACTCGACTCGCAGATCTTAACTTGGACTCTGGAGACTTGTTCAGCACGATGCAAATTAGACTCGCGCATGTTGGAACACGTTGCACCAGGGTTTTCATCACCACCCTGATGTAGGGAAGAAAGCTACTGGCACCACTGTAGATTCGAAGATTGGCAAATAGGAGATAGCCCTATCTGCAGCATTTTGCTGCTTTTCCTACAAGGAATGTGGCATGATTTCGGCCATCAGCTCTCAGGAAAGCAAAGTGCATCACACTTCCACATAACATGACATTGGTATTCGATTGGTTCACTCTACCGACCAATGAGTTGCGTTGCAAAACCGACGGCCGAACCCCAAACCCCGGTGTCCCTAAGAGACCGCAGGCCTCTTCGATCATCTCAGGCATACCTGGTCGCCGCCGACCCGTCGTATCCCAGGTCGAAATGCGAGGAATGCAATGCGGAACACCAGGAGTTCCCAAAGACATAGGGTTTAGGGTTTAGGGTTATGTGTGGAAACCAACGCCAAAGCAGTCTACAAGCCTCCCAAAGTCCGAGCGGCCCAAAAAACGAGTTGAACCGTGGAAGAGACCGTTTTCGGCAGCGGGGACGGCTCCGTTTTGTGGCTTGTCTCACGCAAAGGACCCCATGAAATCAGCAGCTTGAATGAAAAACAAAGAAAACAACAATAATAAACAAGAGCCAAGACCAAAGCCAAAGGGCCCATGGGGAAGGATGTGGAACCTACAGAGGGTGCGTAGCTCAAATAGGGAGACCCCCCAGGCAACGACCCTCTGGAGAAAGGGAAAGATTATTGGTTGGAGACCTCCCTATTGAAATAACACCCACAGGGTGGATGTTGAACTATTTTGTCTTGTCACCAAGAAGTAAAAGTAGAGGCATGACAGTAATCTCTCAGGATCACCTTGCAGGTACCATTGAGATCAGCTATCAACCTGGTCCAGGGTACTGTAAAAGTCCGACGCTGGCATGCTGCCAGAGGCTGAGAATACCAACCGCAATCCTACGGCTTGCCTTCTACCACAGAGACGCATACGAAAGGAAGGCGCCATGCGCCAGAATGGCGAAGACTGAGGATCCAAAGGAAATCCTTCAGAAATTTAGGATCCAAAACAACATCCCATCTGTGATCAGCGCTTCTCATAGCTTCTCATCTCTAAACCTCTCATGGCTCCCTGCCCGCATCGCCAAGCTGCCAGGCACTTCCGGACGCGCCGCGGCATCGCCCGCTGCGGGCGACACCGGTGTGGAGGCCGCGGGCGAAGGCTCGCCGTGATGGCCGTGGCCGTGGTGCGGCGCCTTCCGTGTGGCGATGGACGCTTCAGGAGATTCTTTGGTAGAAAAGGCGGTGGTCGGATGGATTCAGCACGCAGGTTTTGTCAATCGTTTTGCTTTTGAATGAATATCAGATGGTGCCTTCGCATTCAGCTTAGCCACACCCTGGTCGAGCATGAACATGTCGAAGTACTTCGCAAAACGCGCATGATTGTCTCGAAAGGCTTGGAGAAAACCGCACATTGTCGGGCGAACGCGTCGAACTACCTTCGCCCTCTGTAGCGACAGCAGACGGTCCCCGGCCTTGGTCTTGTGCCTGGCTCGGCTCGCCGCCGGACCGGTCGGACTGGACGGTCGGAAGGAAGAACAGCCCGTGTGCCGAAACACGAGACCAAAAGAAAGGGCCATCGAAGATCCTTAGTAAAGCAATTGAAACCATTTTGGTTGGAACCCCAAGAATTGACGTGGACGGTGGATGAGGGGGCTTTACTCCATCCTACACTCCCAGACATGATGAAGAGTCACCATCCACTTTTTCAAGTCGGAATGTGGTCAGAAGTGGACTTGGAGATGACCAACTTCTTGCCACCATGACATGTTCTCTATCGTGGAATTGAAATGACTAAAGGTGGGTGCAAGGTCGTGCAACCCTGACACCTGAGGCTGTTTTGAACTCTTTCCCCCCAGCACGGGTGCCTCTTCATCTGGTTGTGCATGTCTGAGAGGTGCTTCTCCAAATCATGCGCCTTCCAGGGCGACGATTCTGAAGGCACATGCTGCTCGCGTGTTTTGAACACATCGGAAGTTGCAATCCTGAAGAAGGTCACCCATCTCTGCATGACACAAGAAAAAAGAAGAACCTGACTTCGTGAAATAATAATTTAAAAACACACACACACACATGCCAATGCAACAATGGCAGGGCATGTGGAAAACGAAAACACTTTCCCTGCATTGACATGTTTGTTTTTTTCATTTTTTCTGTGCTTGTGTGATCGTAACTGCTGGCCTGCTCAATGTTGTGTTCATGTCCTGAGGAGGTGTACCCGATCACCCCTGAAAAAGAAAGGAGACTTCTCCCACTGACTCTATAAGTGGCCAGTTCAGCTCTTTTGATCTCAAAAGGAAGTGTGTTGGATGGAGCACGTTTGTTGCCTCGTCTGTTGCCGTCGAAAAATCCGACAGTTCTCTTTCACCGGCGAAAGCTTTCGCTTGGGAGGAAAGAGCCACAAAAAGTGTCAAACCTCACCCATAGGCTCCAGGTACCTCTTTTTCGGATGGTCGAACGGAGGTGAGTATATATGTACTTCCTGTTCGGATGGTCTAACTGGGGCCATGGTTGGACGTCTGATTCGGATGGGGCCATGGTCGGAGGCTTAGGGTCACTGACTTGGAAGTGGAAAAGTCCATCGAACCCCCGCTCTGCTCTCGCCCTTGCCTCGGTGAGCACGTCGTGCAAGCGTTGGATCTCAGCGGCCAGACGACAGTCCCGGGCTTGTGACACGAAGCTTGTGCTGAGTACAAGGTTCAGAGATACTACTTGCTTTATATATACTGCATGGTGTCTTCTTTTTGGACTGGCACGGTGGATAGATACCTTCGGAAGACCTGTTGCGATTGTCCGAAACGCAGGCAGCTTCGGAAAACCTGTTGCGATACGTTCTGTCGCCGTGATGAACTGGCCAAGCCCCTATCAAGACGGGTATTGTGCCGGCTCCGTCGATACTCCAGGAGTGCTTCAACGGATGGGTCCAGCAGGCGAGTCTCCCAGCTGGGACCAGCTGCGCCAAGCTGCTTCGATGGGCCAAGCTGTGGGGTGTTTTTCGTTGGTTTTTTCGTGTGTTCTTTTCTCCAACACGGCCAAAGAACGGAGGGTAGCCCTGGCTTGCACAGCTGGCGCAGAATTCTAGCAAAGGGAGAGTGTCTAAGCTGGTATAAGGAGACAAAGCATGTTCACACCTGTTCATCTCATCAATGATGTCCTTTTGGGAATAATAGAGGGGTCGATTTGGCATCATATCCCTATATGAATTAGCCTATATCATGTTGGCTGTTCACTTCAGGGTATCATCCGGACCAACCAATCATGTTCAACTCATCTTTGCTGTTCATACCCCGGCCCCTGCCCCCCAAGAAAAAACACCCCGCAGCCCACCCGAACACCGGCCCCCCACGCACTGAAACGCCCGTGCTTCGTGGCGGGGCGCGGGATTTTCTTTCTTCGTGGCCGTCTGCAGCCACTTGTCCCAGTTTTCAGCCTGGAGACGGTGGAAAACGGTGGAAACGGTGGAAACGGTGGCCGTTTCGGTGTTGCACGGCGCAGTGAGACCAACGTGCTGAAGAAAAACCCGAGTGCCAACCAGCCCAAAGATCCTGCTCCTTAGGACGGCTTGGTAGATCTGGTAAGTCAGATCGCTGGCAAGCCTACGTGGCCTACAAACACACCAATCCTGGCGCCAGAAGAGCTTTTGATCTCTGGGATGGTGAGTGCAATCGGTGTCTCCGCACAGCCCGACTGTATTTCATTGGGCATCGTAGAGTCGCGCGGTCATCTGCAACGAGCTCCAGGCGACGGTAAGTTAGACCATTCCCTCACTTCCGTGATGAACAATCGGTGCACCAAACCCCAGCAGTTCGTGACTGAGTGTTGCTACCAACAACGTCATTTAAACACCACCTACACAACCAGGGCTCCGAAAAAATGGCACCAAGCAGCTTTGGTTTGAGCTGAAACTGCCACTCATTGGCCATGTGGTTGGAGCATGAAAACTGCGACGTTTTCATGCAGGATCTGTGCTTTCCACATCCGCAGTGCTCTCCGCCTCTGCCTCACTCGGGAGCTGGATCAACAGGCTGGGAGTCTGGCCGCAAGGCGTCGCAAGGCGTGGCCGGGGCACGAACGGAACCAGCCAGGCCTATAGGTTTGTGCCATGAATTGTGAACCCATACTCTATAATTATAGGCTTGTGTGTGTGTGTGTCTGTGTGTGTGTGCGTGTTTCATGTTCCATTGAGTTTACAGTTCTTTATACCGATTTACATTCATACATGTGTTTGTGACAATTATGAGTGTGTGTGTGTGTTTTACATTGTATATATCCTCGGCGTTGCGCAGGGCTTTCTGTCGATACAGAAACACGGATGCATTTAGAAGAACCCAGAAACACACTGATGGACACATACCGTCACATACCCACAGGAGCTTGGAAACATGAGGACTCCTGAAAACACTCAAGTCTAGGTTCATGTTGTGTTGAGTTTGTATTAGCAGAGCCGATCGTGCGGGCATGTCCGACTCTTCCATCAAAAATACCTGCTGAAGACTATCGATCAGTGGAACCTGGAGTGGAGCTTTGAGATCGGTAAAACCCCCCCCTTGGTGGCGTCTTTACATCTGCTCACTTTGGAGAGTGTGAAACATGCCATGTGACAATCCAAGTGTCTATCTGATTTCCGTCTGGCATGCAGCAATCCTGCATGCCTCAAGTCTCCCATACGACCAAATGAGTCCTGACATCCAGGGCATGAGATCTGATGTGTGTTTTGGAATACCCCTCAACCACTTGTTCTGTTCGTACAAAAACAGGTCTTTGTCGGGACAAAAAAGCCCTACAACCCGACACACAAATGCCCTACGACCTACGAGGGGACGCCCCCGACCGCCATCCCACATTCCGACCGCTTCCGCTTAGCGCGCCCGCTGAAGCGCGCCCCGCCTGCTTCGGCAGGACCGTGACGGTCTTCCCGTCCCTCTGCACCTCAGTCCGAGCAGTCCCGTGGACGTCAAGTGCTCCGGAGCACTGGAAGTATACGTATACGCGCGGGGGTGCAAATACTTATTAGACTCAGCTCTTTTGTGTTTTTGTTCATGAAAAAGGTCTTCCTTTGCAACTAGCCTTTGTTTTCGGTTCGTTTATATAATATTCCACTAAGTCAGTTCCCTTGTGCCATGTAAATCCGGAACATGATTGTTCATCTCCTGGCTCTGACCCTTTTCTGACAACCAAACACTGACTGAAGGTCTGGTCATCTGCGCAAAATGGGCGATCACATGATGCTCTTCCCCAGTTTATCAGTTTGAGATCTTGGGATTCATGAACAGCGTCCGATGAAATCCACTTCTAAGTAGGGGCCTGCAGCTGCAGGTATCGAACACCGCACCGCACTTCCTAGGCGCGCGGGTGCGCCACACCGCGCTTCGCAACGCTTCGCGCCTTGGCGCCGCCCAGCGCCACGATGGGCGAGCAAAGCTCGAAGCTGGGCCCGGCTCGGATCACCTGGCACCAAGCGGCCGAGCCGCCACCCGCCCCGCGCCATGTGGGCGCGGATCGAAGCGAGCCGTGGAACGGCCCGGCGGTGAAGCACTGAGGCAGGCGAGAACAGCCGGAGCAAAAAGCGACCCTTTTGGTTCTGTGGGAAAGGGTCACCTTAGATGAACGACACTGCACTTCTGAATAAAGAGTGCATATTCCTACAAGAATAAGAGAAAACTCTCGAGGAAACCACACATCCTGTGTCTGCAGGATAGATGAACATAGGTGTGCTAAAATGGTTGTTCCATGATGCTATCTACCACAGGAATCCAGTCCACCGTCTCCAAGCAACCACACCGTCTCCATCGTTCAAACAGATGTAGAAGCCCCCCCTGCTTGAAGTTGAGAATGGTCAGACCTTTGCGGTTCAATCCGTGCCCCGAGTTCCGCGGGTCATGAGAAGCAGGCCTCACCGTTGAAACAAGCATAGCCACTTTCCAAGGCCTGGCCTGCGACCTCGGATTTTGTTGGACAACCGCGGAATTCAGTTGGTTCAATCATGTGAGATCTGCGATTTGGTTCCTGCTTCTTCCAAAAACTGATCAAACTCTACACTCTGCACTCTGATTCACCATGGAATGGAAGTGAAAGACATATTAATATATATATATATGAGAAAAAACAACAACATTCAAACAATGATTCATCCAGAGGCTTCCACAGGAATTCCCCGCCCCCATCCGGGAATTCCTGATTCACACCCCATTATGGCAAAACCCGTCCCAAACCCAGACGTGGAACCACGCCGTTTTCCACGGCGCGGCCCTCCGCCCTGACGTCCCCCGGCAGAGAACTCGGCGCTGGCGAACTTCTCGTTCCCTGCCGTGGCCTTCCTGGCCCGTTCGGCGGGCGGCGCAGAGACCACCGGGGGCGCTACTCGCACGTAGCTACTGCTGCGGTCGTCTTTTTCGAACGGGGTCGGTTTTGGCTCTTTTCGAAAATGGGCCACGCTGCGCACTTGGGATGCAAAGATTTCTGGAACATTGGTGAATCCCACAAACCGGACTGGTTGCATCGGCTTCAGGATGCGGTGCCGAACCTCGCCGAAATGTCCAAATCGAGGCCTTGGCTTAAGGAAAACCAGTTCACGCTCACTTGAGGGCAAGCATTGTTTCATATGTTTTTCAAGTACCAGCGCCACACTGGCGCTACGGAGGGTCCGGTCTGGGCCCAAAGAAGTTGCTGTCTTGATGTCTGGCCCACCATTGATTTCAACAGCCTGAATCCCCAACAATTGTTGCACTGCATTAAACCAGGTCAACCTTTCTGTTACTGTAATCAAGGAAGGCTAGACTGGGGTTCTGGCTCTTGAAGACCTTCACCCACCCGGACCGGGACTTCCGGGCTTCTCTATGAAAGGACTTGCTCGCCTCAGTTCTTCCACAGGATCCGTGTAGGCCGCGCGTACCAAGCCCGGCGCACCAAAGACCTGGCAGTGGCGCCTCCTCTCCACACCTATCCCTAACAATCCATGTATGGAATGTATGCCAACGATGTTTTAAGGATCAACCTAACAAATCAATACTCCATACAACGATTGTTTGGGTATGATACAATTGTTTGATGTCAGGCTCGATAGAACGGATAGAAGAGGAGGGGCAACTCAAGAACATGACCGTTGTCCTAGCGGCTTTGGAGTTGAATGTTTCTTCTGAGCCCTCCAGACATGTGTTTCTTCTTACTGGGGCATGCGGCATAACCCTACTCTTCCTTCTATAACTGCACCAAGAAAAAATACAAAGTGTATTTAAAAAAAGAAAGAACGCTGTATCTGTGAATGCGAGGGAACTGGATTGTAGGAAAATCATAGGCCTTTGTTGAACAGGTGCAAAATCCAAAACATCTTTCTGTGTTCCTTTTACAACGAGTGGAAGATGACGCAATGCCACTGTACCATCGTTGAAGGACCGATTTCTTCGCTTCAACGACACATTGCAAATGCAGTGTCTTCGTGTAGTCGCTCTCACCCTCTACACTCCCTACGTGGATGGCATGGCCCGATTTCGGATGACCATGAAACCCGAAGATCAAACAAGTGGCAAACAATACGAGTCACGGAAGGAAAAAAACGTGACGAGACTCCACAGACTGGGTCCCGGTGCGTCTTCTGGCCGCCGGAGCCCACCTGCCGGCTCACACTGCCGACGGTGGCAATGATCTGCATGGAGCAGTCAGGTGCTTCCTGGGCCAAAGCGACGGATGAGTTCGGGTCTCGGTTCAGTTGATCTCCTGGTGCCAAGGAGATCAGGACACCACCCCAAAAACCGCCAAAAACTTCCCTTCGGAAAGTCCAGTCTTTGGGCCTCCTCCGCAGGGCGTTCCCGCTGGGCCAGGTAGGATGCGATGTTGGAATACCTGGGCACGGCGGAGCGAAGCACAGTGCCTTCTTCTCCAAGCTCGGCAACCATTTTTGGAGATCGCGCAAAGAGAAACATCTATTCTCATAAGGCTTAAGGTTTCTTCCTCTTTAGACCACCCGTTTTGTGTTTCTCTCTGTTTCTCTGCATTTACACCAGGTATACCATATACGTTCCTTCTCCACCCGCCACTTTTACACCACCCCGTCCCGTGCGGCACACGGCGAGGCCGATGGTCCCACAGCCCAGCGCTGCAGAGGCGCCCACGGCGGCGCCCTGGTGCCCGGCGCGCCGGTGTGTGGGGGATTCGGATCCGTGTCGGAGACGGAGATGGTTTTTTCTGGGATCTAATGAGTCACCCTAACGAACTGGAAGGTTCTCAGAAATGAGATTGATTTGGGGTGTGCGGTCAAGGGAGAATCGCTAGATTTTAAATGGGACCGTCTGAACCGAGGGTAGAAAGCTGAAAAGAAATACTGTGAAAACCGTGTGACGCGATGGTCTGTTCTTGTTCTTGCTTTTGGGCTTCCATTCACCCGCCAGAAACTGTTCTAATTAGGCTGCTAGAAGTCATATGTTGTATGCATCTTGTGCCGATGCACAAGGAAAACGCACAATTGTCGGTGTCTAAGGGCCGCCATGGCCGAGGTGGCCAAGGTGTCCACAGTTTCTCAGTGTTCTGCGAAAATGGGGTGAACGTTCTGCGAAAATGGGGTGCACCTTCATTCTCACGCAGCCACCAAGTCAAAAGAAGAGACTAAGCGGATGGACTAGAGAGGCTGTGATTACAGCGGCTGAATCTTGAGAATCCAAAAAAAGGTCTCGTCCGAAGAACCCGCCAGTCACCAGTGGGCTCTTGCTTCATTCCAGTCACGCTCTGGCCTGCAACGCCATGGTGCAACACCCAGAGCGGAGCGGTTTTGCTCCTGTTCACCTGCGCAAGCTGCGCGAGTGGATTCGGTGCTGAAACCGGCCACCCGTGCAGCTTAAGGATGAATAGACCAAGCATGTCTCAAGGTCCGGAGGTCTTCTCTTAGAGAGACGTGGAGACCGTGCCCAAAGAGATAGTCCCGTGGACTCCTGGAGTCCCCACAGCAGATGGACTGCATCCGCAGCTGGGAACGGCTGAAATCCCGCAGCTGGGAACGGCTGGATGGGCTGGCTGAGTCGGTCAGGACATCGTTGGAGGCTGGGATTTCTGGCAGAGACCACAACCTGGGTTTCCCCCATCCCAACCACAAACAATGGTTGGAAGCCAATTTGGCTTGTTTAAGATCCTTTACATAACAAGTGGTCGGGACTGTGGAAACATCCATTTGTTTCTGGTTGTTCGGGTTTCCAGGAAGACGATATGGTGTGATATCACACCCAACTGTCCCTCTTCTGTGTTCAGCTTGACCAATACCCACGTTGCACATTTGACTACATGACATACCATGTTTTCCGGAGTTTTCCACTGGCCCATTCAAAGGAAGCCCCAAACTCGATCAAAAGCGAATCTCCTTCAAATGCCTGCCAAAAAATACATGTCTCCTCTTAAGGGGCCTTTGTACACGAAGTAGGGGAAGTGAAAGCTCCCCGTGTTCATCTTTGCCACCATTGCATTGCCACCCCCATGCGTTTGTCCCGCGTCGTTTCCCCTCAGCGACCGTCGCTCGCGGTGCTCCTGGCCTTTTTAATACCGATGCCCGTGCCCGTGGGCAGACAGGGCACGGTATTCGACCAATTTGACACGACACAAGCTGCAAGCAGGGAGGGCGACTTCAATGAGGAGTTAACTGGATCTCTCGAGGTTGGTCTTCAGCAAAGTCGTGCTCTCAAGTCAAGGCAATCAAGGCCTTGGATTTTTTTTTGTAAGACAGGTCGAGTAGCAAAGTGGCAAAAGACCTAGAAATGTGTTCACTCTCCAAACGCAGCTTGAGCCAAACGCCAGATACAGCCAAGTGTCAACCTGCACTTAGTGTGCGGTTTGTAACCTTTATACATGCATTGCCTTAGCTGCGGTGATGTTCGCCCCAGACAGTTGTGATTCTGGAGACTCAACCAGACAGTAGGCTGCCCTGCCTGTAGCATGACCTCAATATGAACGAAAAGTTGGACACACCAAAAGCTGCTTCAACACCACCCAGAATGCACACAACTGTCAACCGTGGTCGCATCACCTTAGTCATATATCCAATGATATCTTATGTCGTTGCCTTTGTCAGTCCTCTCCTCTAAAAGAGTTTGTTGTATCTCACTCCAAGGCAAGTGCCGCGCTTTTGGAGGAGCGCGATTTCCACCATCCGGAAAAAATCGTCCAATCTGCTTGCTCTCTTTTGATGCTCACCCTCCGGTAAGAGTTCGTTCACAGGACATTGGCGGTTCGCCGCGCTGCTGAACGCTGACGAGCGTTCAAGTCTTTTCTAACTCGGCTCCAAAGAACCCGGAGAGGTGACCATGGACGGCTGCGAGTTCGTTTTTGTTGTTCTTGCTGGTGATACTTGTCACCCAATTGCTGAAAACAGTGATCCTCTCAAAAATGTTCCAGGACCAGCTGGAGATGCCTCTAATTAATACCCTCTGGGCATCACACAGGCTGTGGGAGATTAAGAACCTTAGACTGATACCTCCTTTAAACTAGCCAAACAAGTCATTGTCCATTGCCTCAGGCTGTCAGCGGAGGAGAAACCAGTGTTAGAAAGCACAGCTAATTCGACAACTATGCTCCCCAAAATGTTCATTTTCGTTATCATCACTTTCCGCATGCGATAGTAGCCTGGTTGATGATTGAAGCCTGAGACTGTCGCTGTGTTTTCGGTGGACGCGACCGAAGTCACCGCTCACCGTTCCGTCAGCGTCACCGCGGCGTCTCAAGGCCTGGGGGAGACGATCGCTCAACTGGAGCCAGGCAGGAGAACGTTCATTGAAAATGGAGAAGGGCCTAACTACTCCCCTGCAGATCAACATGGAACCCCAAAACCACTGCGTAGGTGTTCGGGAGTGAGTTTATTTGGCAATAGAGTAGCTTTATTTTGTCTTGGATATGAGCCAGCTGTGACAAGGCAACAGCATGCAAAATATTGAAAGAATCGAGATTGAACCTAAACGGTGCCTTGTCATGATCTATATCAGCAGCTTCAGGCTCTTTCAAAACAGTCATGGTTCCAGTGGCTAGAACCCCTGATGGCACCAGCTCAACCAAAGCCAAGTGTTGGCCAGTGGCACTCACGGTCGACGATGACTGACGATGTGCAATTTAGAACGAATATGGGGATCTGCTAGGCCTTCTCAAACCCCATCTCCGCGAGGGACGCCGATCGGCTAGCGTAGATGTGTTCCTTGATTGAGGAAAAAGGTTTACCACCAGCAACTCAACCTACTCTTGCAGGACTCTTCCAACTGCTCTGCAGGCAAGGCATGTGATTGCTCAAGTGGCAGAAGCGTGTGCAGCAGCTCGAAGTCCACATCCGCAGGGTCTGAAGTACCGTGATGGTGTTTAACTTGTTGCCTTTGATGGGGGGATGATGTTCAACGCGGCTTTCCGTCTATCACGCCCTTGTTGCTGTCGATCTTATGTGGCTCGCCATCAACCGCCACCTGTGCGGTGACACAGCGCTCGGTGGTGCTTTGCGTGGCTTTGCCGCCTACCATCGCCAATTGCAAGCTCACTCAATGTCAAACCAGCCCGCGCAGAGACGGTGTCTCAGTTCGCATAAACAACTAGAACTGTTAGATAGCTGATTAAGCTTTAGCTTGGGAGGAACGCTGTGTTTTTTGATGCTTTTAAAAGCGGATGAAAAGCGAGCGAATCATTGGCGATGTCGGTTACGCTGCCCGAGTGCAAATGCACTATTGACATCGTGCGCACTTGCCACTGTAGCTTTCCCGACGGAAAGAGAAACGATAAAACTATTTGATAATGTGAGTTACGCTGCCCAAATGAAGCATTGAAAGCGTGTGCGTGTTTGCACTTGCGGATTTTCCAAGTTGCTGTCGTGTGTTTTTTGGTGTTAAAAAACTGCACCTCGTTGCTTCCATGGCCATGTTTTCCTCACCCCACACTTCTTCTGACCCTTTGAGCCCTCGTTCTTTCCCGGCTCAGAGAGCACAAGTATCCGTGTGGGCGGCTTCGCCGCGAAGCGGTGTGAATAGTGTTGGGCCAGACGGTGCTTAACGTGGTTCTCCATCTAACATGCCTCTGTTCCTAGCGATGGCCCTTCATGTGCAGCAACGCCGGTCACCAGCCGGGAAAGCTTCTAAAGCAGCAAAAGGAAGGAAAGGAGGAAAGGCCAGAGGCCAAAAGCCACCAAATCAAAAGTGATTTGCGTATAAGTAAGGGGCCAGCCTCCAAAAGAAGGAAGGAAAGGAGGAAAGGCCGGAGAAAGAGGCTGAGAGGCTGAGAAGCCAAAAGCAATCCTCTTGCTTGACCAGTTCAGTACAAGAGCGACCGGAGCCCTTCGTGCCTGGAATCCGTTCGGAGGCCAGTTGATTGGCCTGGCCACAGCTCTTCCAACACGCTCTCAGGGTCACTTGCAGTTGGCTGTTGTAGCGATGCAAACAAACATTGGGAGTGGCCTAAGGGGTAACAACATGGTCAATTGATGTCAATTGCATTCAATTGGCTCAAAGTGTCCAAGCCTACCACCTTCCACTCGAAATGCCTCACAGTCGTACACTGGGAGATCTGGCACCAGTGTATCCATGGAGGGGATTGATGTCGGCGTCAACTCGGGGCGACCTGATTGTAGAGCTTTTGCAAGGCCAGCTGCCTCTGGGTCCGAGCCTGGCATCCGTCGGGCCCAGTCGCGAGACCACCGGTCGTCGGACGCTTCCGACGCGCAACTGCACCGAAACGCGGATGGCAAAGGGCCCTGTGTTCGTGGAAAAGAGTCTTCCTTTCGGGGTCTGAAGTGTTCCACTTCCCATGTTTGTTGAAGTGAGGGTAGTTCACCTGCCTACCCTCCAAAACGACCCCATGGGCCCCATGGAAGTACTGTGCAAATGGGACAACTTGGGAAACGGCGTTCTCCACTTCTATGGAACCTCAGTCTGGGTCTCTGCAGTGCAGCGGGATGACCCATGGTTTCTACAATCCCCACGTTTGCGTCCACCAGCATCACTGAAGAAGTGCCCCAAAGGATCCCTTTTTAGGTAGGCGAACAAACAGGAACATCAGGCGCTATGCTATGAAAAACAGCATCGCTGCACCAAAAAGACACCCCCTCTCAGCCCTGCCTGATATAGCGAGTCGAAGGATGAAACTCACCCAGGGCCGGTCGAACATCGACGCGGACACCCACCCGAAAAGAAATACCCGAGGAAACCGAGAAAGGGTGAAACTCAAGTGTGGCAACCGAAGGCTCTAAGGCTTCTTCGAAGAAACGTGCCGAGCTGTTCAAGATTCGTCGATTTTCTTGGACGTCTTATCTGAAAATGGGAAAGGGATCTTACAGTAGATATATATATCTCTGAAAAAGATCAACTGGAAGGTTGGATCATATTTGCAGCTAATCAAAACAGTTCCATGAGACATCTCAACTAGCAATATCTCGTGACCTGCACTGTGTCCAGCAATCAACTTAGATGCACAGATACTAACAATGTTGGGCCAAATTGACTAAGACATTGCTGAAGGTGTCCCACCTTTCCATTCAATTATCCACCCAGTTTGGTCGTGACTCGAGCGGTTCCGTCGAGTTTGCCTGGCTCGAGCGGGGCGCTGTGAGGACCTCGGTGGCGGTCGAGGTGCGGTCAGTACCACCCGAAATGAACACATGGAGGAGGAGAGAAACCCCCCTCCGATCCACGGGGCGCCAATCTCCAACTTCCACCTCTGCTTCATCTGGTTTCCAGTGACATGTCCGCGCCTGGCGCCTGCTTTCCTGTTCAAATCCCCCACACGTCCGGTACTTCACACCTGACACACCGGGTCCCGGGTCGGCCATGTCGACGTACCGAGCTTGCTCGGGACATCGGGCGGCCGAGTCCGGTCGCCAGGGCCGGGCCGGGTGGTCGTGGAACACGGGGAACCCGGTCGCAGACCGCGGTTTGACCACCGGTCGCAGCCTGGGTTTGTTTCACGTGGGCATGGTTTGGAGAGTGTCAACCGGGGAGTCGATTTGAGGACCAACACCACTTCCTGCCGCGCACGCGCGCGGTTCTTTAGGGGGACGCATGCTGTACAATGATACTATCACCGAGCGGCTGCAAGTTTCCCGGCACTATATACACCTGCAGGTCTGGGGAGGATGGGATCGGCTGTCGGTGGGCGCACGAGGGATGGTCCAAACTGCAATGAAGATTTCTTGGATTTCTGCAGCCGACAAAGTCGGAAGACTCGTTTCCTCTGCAAAGAACGGTTTCTTGATTTCGATGTTGTAACGTGTTCGTTGGATACCCAACCTCTTTCTCCTCCACTGGTTAACTTCCTCTGAGTAGCGGGGTGTCAGCAATCATATCCAATCATCTGACGAAGGTGAGTGAATTGATTTGTGCCAAAGAGTTGGCTTAGATCTGCTTAGATCTTGGAAAAGACAGTGAGTGCTCCAAGGTCTCTGTGAGTAGCCTGCCGCCTCCAAGGTCTCTCAGTCTCGAGTCTATCCCAAACTCGAGCCTCATCTGACTCAAAAAAAAACACATGAACTCACCATGCCTCGTTCTTCACAGTGAATCATACCAGCATAGACCCCAAACAGTTTCAAAAACGATTCGTTTGGACCCATGTGAGTCAAAAAGGATTTCTTGATAGAACCCTACCTTCCGAACCCCAACCATAAACCGTTTGGTGACAAAAGAACGCCCTGAGATTCGATCCAACACCACCGGGTGGGTCGAACGAACATGGTCTCGGCCTCTGTAGCTACGTATGTACCTATATACGTGTCAAAAGGACTTTTCTCCTCTACTAAAGGGAGGTCTATGTCTATTTCACCCAAATGGGTCACAAGAGGGGAGAAGTGTGTGACTCTTGACCAGGATCTTCAAAGTGACCATCTTTGAGATCGGAGAAGGTCACAACTAGGCCGCCTAGGCCTGTTTTTCAGGCACTTAGAGACTCACATGAGGTCACTTCGCAGGTGGGAAGTATTGTGGATGGATGGCCAACCAACGTCCATTTCACCTGCCATCCACCAAAAAACTGCCTCAGACCCCTCCCGTGCTTCCCCTCCATGACCCGACCGACCGCCCCTCGCCTGACCGCAGCCGGGGTGCGCTTCGTGGCCGCAACTGGAGACCGGTGAAAGCGGGGAGACTGGTCGGTGAAAGCGTCCTTGTTCCTACTAAGGCCAGGGTCGCCCCGTTCGTAGCGTCCATGCTCGTAGCGATGCCCTGACCGCTCCGTTCTTGACCGCGTCGGGAGTGAGAGTTGGTTTGACGGTCAAACCGGAACGTGCCCTTTGCTGAAAAAGGTGCCCAGTGCCCATCCGTGGATCCCACGCGCGCGACGCGCATCTTCCCCGCGGAGCACATCGAAATCATACTTCCGCAAGAACCTGCTTTGTGTGCCGACAGTCGTGTCGCTTCAGATGATTGTGTAAGGGAACCTCCAGGCTCTATGTGAGCTCAGTGTCTTTAGTGACGCTAGCAAGGACGGACGCTCCTGGCCTCACTACTAGGAACAAGAAGCTGCTGTATCTCATGCATTCAAGGTGCCTAAATTGGCTTTTCCTTTATCTAACTTGCAAAGCGCGTCGCTTGGAACGTGTTCTGCAGCCGACGAAAACGTCATAGAACGTCTATGAGATCACAGACGTGATGTCACTGGAGATCTCCTGTGATGACTTAGCATCCTTGTTCCTAGTAGCGAACATTGCTCCTAGTATGGCCAGGAGCCCCCCGTTCGTAGCGATGCCCTCTGCTCCGTTCGTAGCGATGCCCTATGGCCTCCGTACCTCCGTTGCTATCGAACGAAAACGTACCGAGCCTTGATCCCCTGCACGGCTCCAATGATGCAGTCCGTTGCAGGGGACCATGGCATGAGACTCTTAGGGTACATAACCCCCCCCCAGGCTTGAATTGGCAAATCCTCTTCATATGGGTTAACGGTCATGAATCAAGAGTCTGCATGACTTTGGTACTTTTGAGACGGTTTTTCACACCGCTCCGGATCCGTCGTCTCTCATTTACTGTAGGCCGAAGCAAGAATGACTCAGGCAGCTTAAGACTCTTACGCTGGTGGCATAGTTGTCGAACAGAAAGACCAACGTCGAAGCATCTGAGTTGTGGAAACCTGGTACAAAACCCTTCGAAACCTGATAGGTTAGAATCCCAACTAAACCATGCAGTGGGGGGTATTGGCCACTGTGAATGAGCAGCGTAGATTGAGGTTAACTGCAGCAGGTATGAAACGTTTTTGCGGTGATGGGTTCTCGAGCTCTTCTCTTGGCTTTCCACCCGATGAAAGAAGAACAAAACACACTGCTGTGTTGGTCTCTGAATCGATAGATTGGCAGGGATCATCAAACTCGTGTGTAGCAATCAGAAACCGGACAGATAAAACTATACAAAATTCAAATACCTTGCATGTGCTTGACGAGCTTGTCAATTCAACACGTGCTCATTGCCAGTTGATGAAACGGCGTTGAACAAGTCCTTTGCTTCGCAGCCCGCTCCCCCCGCCTGCGGTGCCGCGACGGGCTCCGAGGGCGGCACAGCGACGGGCTCCGCCTTGACGCCCGGGTGGTTCGACTCCGATGTGCTTTGAGACGACTCGGGCGTTTCCTTCCCTTCAGAGCGAGGGAAATGGCACCAGCAAGACGCGTCATGGCACCAGGAGACCGACCGATGAACCTGCTTTTGTCGCCTGGTGTCGATTTGGTCGGAAACGTATGCGGCAAGTTTGGTGGACTGGTCGGGCTCCAAGTTTGGACCCCATCCACATATACCCAGGGGTTCGAGGTTTTTCGGAGCTCCAAGTACAGGTTGGAGAAGATCCCGAACTCGTTGGCCAGCCTTGCGAGTAATACGCAGATCACAGGTAGAAGAGATGATTAAAAACAATAGACGCTCCAACTCACCATAGGAAAATAGTCTATCAAGTTGACCTTTCTTCCATCTGCTCACTGCTTGGCGAACTATCCCGCCCCCCAAACCAAGCAGCTTAGAAATTTGAGGACTTTGAGGATTTCCTCTAAGACTCTAAGCCGAAATCTGTAGGATGCCCAACAAAGGAACACAGGGCTTGCTGGCCAGCCAAGTGCGACAGGGTTCTCCGCCAAAGATTCCTCAACTGACCTGGAACTGAACCTACCACATGTCGCCGACTGATCAGTTATTATATGACATGCATACATACCTCTGTCTGACCCGCAGAAAACTTCGGCTTTCAGTCGATTCCATTCAATCCGAAGAGGTGCGGGGCCCAGAGTTCTAGTAGCGATGGCCCGGCCTCCAACCTACAGTACTAACCTACTAGCGGGGGTTCAACGCCCGAGTTCACATGAGTTAGACTTCGAGTCCAGTCATGACTCAAACTCCCAGGTAGTGGGGGGGGTGTCCAATGAGTCAAAGAAAGAAGTTCTGGGTATACCTTGGGGGACCGACGATGCTTAGGCCTTTCTCCAAAAATAGATAGTTCTATATAGGTATATAACTGTGTACTGCTGGTAATAGGACACATCCGAGGTATAATGTATAAATTAATATATAAGTAAATTAACAATAAATAAATATATAATATATATTATATATGTACACCAGTTTTCAAGCCTCAACCCACGACTTCCCCGTTTCGAAGGACAACCACGGACGATGCTCCGTGTTTCCGACGTCCGACAGACTCGCCTGCAGATCGGCGCTTTCCGCTGATCGAGGCGCGCGATCGTTGGGCCAGTTCACCTCAGTGGCGTTTCCGCCGAACTCAAACGGCGGAGTGGCGCGAGACATCCTCGAGGGTTCCTGGAGGGTTCAGTTCTTCGCGTTCAAAGAGACGATGTTGTTTGGGTCTTTGGTGGCGCGAGAAACGGCACGAGACGACGCGAGACGTCAGACGGAGAGGCTGGAGAGGCAGACGGTTTCGGGTGGTTCCGTCGAGCAAGAAACTGATATCCGAGTTGCCAATGGGTGGCGGAGCTTGGGGAGAAATCAATCCATATGGGCGTTTGACATCAATCCCCGTTTGGACATCATCTGACATCAAGCCAAGAAGCAAAGGAGACAGGAACTTTTGGCACCTGGCGTCAGGTGCTGAACCACTCGACCCCGGGCTCAAGCCCACTGAGGGTGAAAGTCCATGGATGTGCAGCTTGGACTTGAGGATCTGTTTAGGGTTTAAGCTTTAAGAAAAACTTGAGGCCGAGGGTAGGTGACGAAAGCTAGCAGGGGTGCATCCGGACTGGTGGGACATCAAGCGGAGTGAGGCAAATGCTCATGAGGTAAAACGTTGTGAACATGTAAGACACACAAACAGCAATGACACAGCCAACCTTAGAATTGAAGTCCCCGATAATTAAGGAAGCGTGGCTGGACTTTGCCACACTGTTCGATGCATCCGATGTGTTCACGACCCTGTGAGCTTGTTGAATCTGTTGCACCGTATCCCAAAACCTCCACGGAGGAGTTGAACCAGTGTGGATGCCATAAGAGGTGCCCAAGAGGTGTCCCAGAGGCAAAACAAAGCTGCTTGCATGATTTGTTTGGTTTCTTCTATCGATGTCGATGTCATGAACATGTGAGCTTGTTGAATCTGTTGCACCGTATCCCGGAGGAGTTAAGCCAAAGTGGATGCCATAAGAGATGCCCGAGAGGTGTCCCAGAGGCGTCCGAGGGGGGAGTTGAACCCACGGGGGGGGACCTACATATGAAGTTTTCACGTGATGCGGCGATCCCGAGGATTCCAGCCCCTCACTTGCTAAAGCAAGGACAACTCCAGCTAGCTGGTGCTAGCTTTCGTGAAAAGATGTCCAATCTTCAGTCTGAATATCCCTGAAGTAGCTCTGGAAGGTGGTGTGAAAACATGTGAAAGCCACCTGAGTTTGTAGTGAAGAGGCTTCGTCACGTCACCCGGGTCCTCGGGGCCACGCCATCCACATTCATGACTCCCAAGTAATGCCGATGATGTCGGCCACTAAGGAGAGCACACACAGAGGCATTTTTGTCGAAGCTTGTCGAAACGATGTTGGACCAACACAAACTTTCAATATGGTTATGTTGATGGACGCGAGGTTGTTTTCAACAGCCCGTGGTGCAAGATATGCTGCCCGAGTAGCCTTGCAATACTAGCATGTTGTGCTTCTGCTTGCTCTCGTTCTCTTCCTCTTCCAGAGAAAGTGAAGAGAAAGAGACAGAGAAAAGGAAGAGAAACAGCAAGAGGAGAGGAAGAGAAAGAGAATGGTAGGAGGAAGAAAAAGAGAGAAATAGAACGAGGAAGCGGCAGAAGAAAAAGAAGAGGATGAGGACCTGCACCTGCCCTGCTTACGCCTGCGCCTGATGCCTGCACTTGCCCTGCTTGCTCCCCGGCCCGCTCTTAGGCGTAAGCCTTGAAATCAATTGTAGCGAGTCTCCATGTTTCTTTACAAAGACTTTGTCGCACTGGACCTGGCGTCACAAAAGGTGTGAAGATTCACAAACCCAATTCGACACCTGCCAGGCACTCCCATTGACAAGAATTCGACACCTGGGCTTCACTCAGCACCCAATCATCTCAACACCTCACCTCAGGTCGCTTCCGTGCAGTGTAGACCCAGGGCGCAGTGGCCTGCGCCGGTCTCCGCGAGCGGCACGCGACCCCGCTGCTCTTTCGTCTGGTCCGCCACTGGTGAATTCGAGGCGGATCAGGTGACTTGGGGTGCATTGTGGACGGGTAACTGATGAACAAACACGACAGAGAAAAGAAGGATCTGTGTAACTGTGCACACTGAGGTCCAAAAACATCCCCTAGTGACTTGGATGACTTGGAGGTCAAAATCCAATGCCAGCACCGACCAGCACCTCTCACCCAGTGGTTTCAGTTCAGTTGGCAAAAGGTCGATGAGAACCTGGGGAACCCCTTGTGATTGGCAAACATCCCAGCAAACGTCGGCCCAAAAGCACTGTCCCAAGGTCTCATGGTGCGTTTCAGGCCCAAAAAGTGCCTAATTTGGAGGTTCGTAGCTCTCCGCAAGAACCCCTGCCGCTCCCGCCGAAAAAAGTCTCGATGTTTCGCTTCAAAGCTTCGGTTCCCCATCGAAATGTGACGCCCCGTTCAGAGCAGTCACCTCCGGTGGAGAGGAGAGCCCAGGCGAAGCGTAGCTGTGTCCGCCCTGGCCGGTGTTCACTCACACTCGACTCGAAACGTAAAAAAATCGACTCCAAAAACGGGGGCAGCCTCTCCGAGGCGAGGCATGAGGATGTAAAAAAATCGACTCCCACCAGTTGACTGGGTGATTGGAAGAAACGACAAAGACCCAGCCGGCCTTGACCCACAACAAATGTTCGAATTCTCAGCTCACAAGTCGATGCCCAACATCCACCCACGTTCGATCGTCAGAGCTGTCGCTCCTCTGCCTGGTCCATGATTGCCTCAAGCAACTTCACCACGACTCGGTGCGTCGGTCAATCCAAAAAGCATCCAGAGTTATTGCTTTTCCCACCCTACAATCACCACCTGGCTGTGGCTCCAAATCACATGACCTGCGAAGAAAAAGAACTTCTTGGCTTCGCCATTGGGAGAATGTTCCACACGGGGCTGAGGGAGCAGTGTTACAAATAAAATGAATTTCCCCAAACCTTTCTAGTGAAGTGAACCGATCTCAATCATGAACAAAACAGTTGAAAAGAGGAAGCCTTTGAACACAAACATTGGAGCATGGCTGGTGACACATGAACAAAAGGAGCACGGCTGTTGAGTCTATAGGGTTGCAAAGTCTATCAATGTTTATCCGTACCATTCAAACTAAAAAAAGAACACCTGGCTGCCTGAGATAAAGAACACCCTTCTGATGGTTCCAAGTGGTGCCAGTGTCCTTCTTACATCAACAGCAGTCAATGAAGAGTCAATACAACAATCCCTTGGGCCCAAGCCAACACGAACCAGCCCAACGGATGTGATTTGGCATCCAGGTTGCTTCTCGGGCCAATTGCAACAGCGAGACGATCTGGGACATGGCCTGACTGCGACAAGCCAAACGAAGGGATGAACTCGGTGTTCAACACCGAAATCAATCCCAACGAAGGATTACCCAATCCGACCTCCACCGTTTTCCACAGAAATACGAAGCTTTGAGAGAAGATCGATCTACTGTGCATATATTATATATACCCCTGGATTGATTGTGTAGAGTTACACAATTCCACACTGACGACACTGCGTGGCGAATGGGGGGAAGTCGAAAGTCTTGCAAATACCACGCACTGCTCAAAACCCGCGACATTCTGGGACTTAAAGACTATAAAAAGAATTGTCTCTAGGTGACCGGAGAAGGAATATGCTTTACTTCGCTGAGGCAAAATGTAGAATGTAGTCGTTTGACTTCCAGGGCAACATATGGGCCAACAGTACTGACATGCTGACACCAAAAACCCACCAGTCCTGCAAAACAATCTGCTGGACATGGACTGGGGGCCAAGTGCATGTTGAATGCGGACATCGGACCTGAATTTAACGGAAGACCAGCAGGGGTGCCCATGTTGCTGTGCTGACACTTTCACTGGTACTTGGTTTCCCCAATGGGGGGAAGTTCAAAACGACAAAGACCCGAGTCTTGACCAGCTGCATCCGGCTCGACCCCGCTCCGCCGCCGTGGGCGGCCCCGTGGGAAGATGCAGAAGAGATGGCCGGAGGAACCCAACGAAAAACACTCTTGACATCTCCTCTTGTGCTGCTTCATGAGGATTGCATGCTGTTTCTTTTTGGCATATTGCTTGTCTTTCGATGCTGACTGGCAGCTTCAAAGTCCAAAGCAAGCAGCTCTCGAACGGCGTTAGAGAGAAGAAGCAGTCGTCCGTTGAACCCAAGGCGTTCGTTTGCGTTCGAGCGCGTTCCTTTTAAGTCTGCTTGCAATCCAAGAAAATGAGTCCTTCTACTTGGAGCCTGGAAAGGAGCTTGCAAGCTCTCTAGCCGCTTGCATCGATCTTGGGACACTGTTCCGGTGTTTTTGGTTCATGTGAACCGTGGATTGGAAATGGGAAAGACCGTGAGAGGAAACTTGTAAATGGCGAGATGAAATCTATCGTTGTGAGAAGGCGTTTCAGGCTTTTTTGATCGACAACGGCCCCAGCTTGCCGGACAACGACCACCGCTCCGATGCCCGGAGCGAAGGAAACGTCGCCCGCCCGCCCGCCAGGAGCCTTCTCTTGAAAAGAGTGGCTGCCAGAGGCTTTCCTCAGCATCTCCACCCAACGGCTGGCCACCTGCACTGCCCACTCTGCCCACGCAGAGTGCACCCACGCAGCTCCGCCACTCTGCCCGTGGAGAAAGGCCGAGATGGCGAAGGCTGGCTAAGGAAGTGGAGAAAATTGGGGTATTTACAGCGTGACAAGACGGAAACGGCCAAGCGGTGCAACATGTCTTCTTTTACCCATCGGATGTTCCAATGATATATACTTTGGGTTCCCCTAGATGTCTGGGATGGGTTCCCCACCATATTTCCGCCGCTCTTTTTGACATGCACCGAAACGACCACAAATACGGGGAAATGTTCCATCTTGCCCACGCCAAGTGCGGCCTGCTCATCAGCAAAGGTCAAGCGAAAAGTGCGGCCTGCGCTGCTCATCACTGGCACGAGCTATCAGTGATTGGGTCTCTGAATGGTCGGTTTTTCTCCGCTTTCTACGAAGATGTGGTGTTTTGCACCTCTCCGCCTTGCCCCACCTTCTTTGCTGGTTTGCTCGTTGAAAATCGCTAAACGGTCTGGTTTGTCTCTCTGATCCAACCGGTTCGCCGTCGCCGGACATGGAGTCCCATCTCGAGGTTCTGCCGACAGCTGGAGTGGTCTTTTACCCACCGAGAGCGCACGGCCAACATGTACCACGGAAGAATCGCACATTTTAGATGCCCACACTGCCGGATTTGAACACAAGGGCATCTGGTGAAACAAAGAATGGTCTGAAAGACTTCAAATTTGGAAATCTTGTCGTAAAGGCCTGGAATGAAGGCAACCATCAGCGGAACACAAGGCGCCAGGCGCCATGCAGCCCTGAACCCAAAGCTTGAATCCATGGAAAAAATGGTGGCAAAAACTTGTACCCTTTTTGTAAATGGTTTACTATACTTACTCTTCATGTGCCACAGCGTCTATACTATAAGGTCCACAAAAACGGTATACAATGCATACAATGTAAATGAATGGATACTTCAGACCCGGAGAAAAAAATAAACAACTCTGCCCCTTGATCAGCCCGACCCGACCACGGCCGCGGCGGCCTGACACCCTCAGAGTGCAGCGTCTTCCATCGCGGCGCGCCTCGTCGTTTTATCCGGGATCGCGCGAGCGAAAGCGCATCGCCGGGATCGCGAGCGACAGCGGTCAAGCTGGTCCCACATCGGGTCCATCCTGTTGGATTGTTGATTTCTTTTAAGCCCATGATCCAGCCAGGGTCCAGGGTGGTTGACCCCTAAAGCGAAGGAAAGGTGCACCATTGCCGCACCATGTCTGTCTTTTGATGCTTGTGTGTCCTGCCTCCGAATCCCAAAGCAAAAGCGCATCCTCCACATAAGACCTCAGTCTTCACAGCTGCGTCTTCAAACCCGCACCGTTGCGCGTTACGCATGGTTGGTCAGACACAAGGAGGCTGAACACCGAATGAACATGGAACGCCAGAAACACAGGGGACGTCCAGCAGATCTTGGAAAAAAGGAACAAAACAACTCACCTGGGTGGACAAAAGAAGACCTTGGTGCTTGTTCGTCTGCTGAAAACCCATGTTCGTGTGTAGCACCTGGGTGGTGTTCTTCTTCACTACTGACGGCGGCCATTCGTCGAAGTGAAGTCTGTGTTCAGTTTGGAGACCCAACTTTCGACCACGAACCAAACGAAAGAAAAAGGACCGGGACCCTGGTTGAGGCAGTTTTGCTTTCAATCACTTCAATCCTCCCAACTCTCTCGGTATCCAGGACTCCTTCGTGCGGTCCAATCGTGTCCAGTCTCCGCCCCCGAGCGGGTCGACAAAGCCTTCCGGCAAACGACGACCTGCAGCGAGGGCGACCGAGCGGCGACGAAGTGGAAACCGGGCGTTTGGACGGGGCTGGCTCTTTACAGCCAGTACCACAGATGAACCGGGAAGCCGGATAAGCCCCATGAATAGCCCCGGCCCAGGTCATCAGACAGACTCATACTCACTGTGAGTGTGACACGTGAGATCACTGGTGACCACCTGACCCAACTTGGGATCCGGGATGTCGCGTGATGTATCGCGTCTCGCCCACCTCGGATCCACACCGACTTCCGTAGGATGGAACGACCAGAACTTCTGCGCCTCGGAAGCAGATGAAGAGCACGTGGCCTTGTAGGATGACCTGAGGTCGCAGGAGTTCACATCGCATGACTTTGGTGGGAAACCCACCCACTTGATTTCATGAGGAATCAGTGGATTCAATCATCCCAAGCAAAGGTTGAGCAAAAGTTCTTTTTGGAGGAGAGGCGCGAGGCAACCCTTGAAAGTGATGGACACAACTCGCAACTCTGCTTCGTCAGTCAGAAGGTCAACGTCATGACCGGCTTTGCCGGGTTTCTGGTACAAGTCCTTTGCTCCTTGGTCGGTAGACGCTGTGCTTTTGTTGTTCGGAAAACGATGGCGGGTCGAATCTCCGGGTGGATTCTGTCCATCCTTGGGCAAGTGATGCTGATGAGCTGAGCCCACTAAAACCATGGAAAACCCACACGACACGAATCGCGAATGGATCATGGAATCGTGGAACAAGTATATTTTTGTATACCTAGAACCTGAGTGAACCCTAGTTTGGAGGATCTATTCAAAAGATGTCAAGTATACACACCCCCCCCACTTCGGGGCCCTTTCCTTCTCTAGATCTTCCGAGATCCACTCCCCCTATAGCTCGGCTCGGCCCCCGAGCCACGCGGCTGGAGGAGAGGAAGAAGCCTCGAACCGTGTCCCGCCCTTCTTCGCGGGTCACTGTTTTGACTATCTATCGTGCGGATTGATGGCTCCATCCGTTTCGCACCCCCCCATGCCCCTTCCATCCACACCTGAGGAGACGAATTGGGGAATTTCAATGGCGGGTGCCTTAGATACCTACCCACGTCGAGACCTTGCAGAATATTTTCTAATTATGCCTGCATACTTCCAGTTATATCATATCTGAAAAAATATTCCATGAACTGAGCAGTTACTGGAATAATTTATGAATAAAATATTCCAGAACAATTCTTGTTTTTGTAAATAAATATTCCAAGTATGCATCCACCCTCCTTCTCACAAACAGCAAAATGAGAAGCGCGCTCTGACAGATCTGCGTTTATTTTGAAATAACTATTCTGGGTATAGTTCCACCCTTCTTCTCAGGATTGCCCACTTTTCATCACTCTCCAACATGTTCTTCATTGAAAAAAATATTCTGGGGTTTGTCTCCAGTATCAGTATCCCATACCTCCAGCCATAAATATTCCTGTAAAAATATTCCAGAAAAAATATTATGTGAACTCACGGTATAACCTGGAATATTTAACCAAGGTACCCCCCATGAATTTCATCCTGTGAATGTCCTCCTTCTCATCGGCGCGGCCCAGGGCGCCGCACCCGCCAAGGAGACCTTGGGTTCACGGGATTGGCTCGGCGTAAAGGCGTCAAAACGGATCATGAGGATCCATGGGTTTCAAAGGACCTCTAGGTGACGTGACGGACTTGTCCACCAAGCATTGCCCTTCTGTTCCTCGCCTAAAGTCCTTTATAGAGGCGCCAAGTGTTTCTGACATGGTGCTTTATTCTGTGCATGTGTGAAATCACAGCGGAGATGGTGAGACCTGTTGGACCTGAAGACTTTGCACAAAAAATGACACAATGACAATGTGCCCCACACTCCTGCAAAGACTGCAGCAGCATAAGGACGCTCATGATGCAGGGACCGTGCATTAGAAAGCACCCAGGTTCCAGCCACTACACTGCAGCAAGCAACTCCCAGTAGTTCCACCTTGACGTTTTCCATCACCTCGTGGAATGTGGAAGTCCCTCGTCGGCAATATCTGCAGGCGAAGAAGGTGAAGAGATCCATCAAGATTGGGGCACAACAGAACCAAAGCACCACACCCTCAGCCAACTGCGGCACCGCGTTATCGAAATAGGTGAAATCGCTTCCTGCTGCATGAGACACGGCTAAATCGAGGAAAGCCCAAAGGATGGGAATTGCCACGGAGAGGCTCCATCCTCGCGTGAAGATTTGGTCATGCAGTCCGGTAAGTAGGGTCTCCAAGACTTCCGATCGAGCGTAGTCTTCAAAGGCCTCTTCACTGCCAAACCAAATAGACACACACTTCTTGACAACATTTCGGTCGCACATCATGCGGGCTCCTCCTTGTACATGGTCCTGATCGCAACAGGAACATCTGGCATTGTCAAAGCTGATCTTGCGCATGTTCTCCTTCAAAGTCTCAACCGAGCGAAAATATGCCCTGAAGGCAGCTGCTATGAAATAACCACTGACGGGTAAGAAAAGAGCGACGGAAGCGAGTGGAATAAGAAAAAAAAGGTATCCCAAACCAGCACAGTCAGGCGCTGGAACAGTAGTCACAGGCAGCATCACAACAAACACACCGATGAAAAACACAATCGAACAAGGCCCAAAGAAAGTAGGTCTGATGAGCAGTACTTGTTCACTGGCCGCTTTGCTTTTCAGAAAGGCAGCAAGCTCAAATACACACCACAAGCGCTCACTCCACGTCGGGTCCCACAGCACAAGCATGTAGTCTGACTTTCTCAAGATGCCAGCCAAGCTTAAAATGCTGACGGTCTTCAAGTCATTGTCATGCTCGCTGATGCAAATACGGTCAAAAAAAACCAGCTGCTGTGGCCACCACAGGAAAAATGTAATTACCGCAGTTGCAAAGCCACTTCCCAGTGACCAAGTAGACCACCCCTTGGCATACACCCCATCGAAGCGAGGAAAACCCGGCAGAAGGCCACAGCTGAAGCAAATCGTCATGACCAGAGCAGTGAAAGAGCCTACCAGTACTGCTGGCAGCCCATTGTAGCGCACCAAAAGTGACAAGATCTTCATCCAACGGCTGCCATGCCAGGAATGAGACCAAAAGCAGGAGATCTGTTCACTCATAGAACTCTCTCCATAGAAGTCATGATCCTCTTCCAATGATCGCAGTGCTCGTGCACACTGCTTGAAGGCTTTGTGTGCAGGCGTGGACCTTAAGGCTTCAGGCTTCAAAACCTCCATTCGGGCCACGTAGTTGGCCACCTAGCAGCTGAAATCAACAGACTCAAATTTGACTCAAACCCCCAACCCGCTGAATGGACGATGTGGCACTGCATGTGAATGGACGATTCAAATTGGGGTCAAGAAACAACAAAACACAGCGAGCTGAACATGCTTCATGGATGGTCTATGGACCTTTGCCGTTGTCACCGTGTTCACCTTGCCGTTGTCACCGTGTTCACCCGTTTTCAGCGTGTGCTTTTCACCTTTTTCGCCTCCAAATCCTCCTCTCTCTCGCCACGTGACGAGCCACTCTCCTCGCCGCGAGCATCGCCACCGTGCTGCGCTCCCTTCACCGTGCTCTCGATCCGTTCGGAGGGCACGGTGGCGTGCACCGCATCCCATGGCGGCGAGAGCATGGGGAGTGGGGGTACACTCCCATGCAGCTGTGATGTGGACCTCACGAAGTTTCGGGAGATGCTTGTAGAATGCAGTTGACTTTTGTATGCTATCTAGAAGAGTGGGAAGATGCTTGCCAGCATCGAGAACAAGAATCGCAGACGGAAATTGCAGCATGTGTGACTTTTTGTGACTTTTGACACAGTGTGTAGACTTGTAGACTTGTGCAACAATTGGAGACATCTGTCATAACACTTCAGGTGGGTCAGGATCAGTCGCATGTCGGTGACTGTCGGAACGGACTTGATCCGTTCGCGTGACGCGAGGAGACGAGCTCGAGCGATCGGATGAGACGTCTCGAGCGATCGGAGTGGTTTTGGAGCGCGGACTCGAATCCAAGTTCCATGTGTTGTTTTTGGGCATGTTCTACGAGTCCGGAGTCGCTTGCTCCGCCGTAAACACACGGGGCGAAATGGCCTTGCACTTAGGAGCAAGAGGCTGCAAACACAAAGGCGTGTGTAGGCATGGGCCCGGGGACGCATGTACAAACTACAGGCTGAAGATCACGTCGAATCACGTCGCAACACGTCACTACACGCGCTGAAGTGAGGCCTAACACGAACAAGTGGACACCAACAAAGCCAGGACTTCGTGTCTGGGAGACCCTACGAGAGCACTTTCTGCATGGATGCCTTTCTGCAGCTCCAGCAACTCCTGCGACCGAGGTGCAACTTGAATCGGTCGCAGGTGCGGGCGACAGTCGGAACTCACCGGAGAAGATCAATCCCTAGTAACTATGAATCATCTACAAAGAAATGAAAGACCCAACTATCCCCCCTATTCTCATCTATTCAATTCTAGAGAATTCTAGAGATCTAGTCTATTGTGTTTGGAATCTGAGTTTCGTGTCTGACCAGGTCTTCTTGGCCTCAATCGAGTGCGGGCTGCCCATCGGCGCCCCTAAGGCGGCGCAAATGAAGCGCTCCCGGGCGCCTTCTCCGCGGAGTCGTTTATCTGGGTGTGGAAGGTCTTCAATGACTAGTCCAAAGTGATGTGCACTGTGCAAGCTGTAAGCACTTCTTCCAGAGAAATTCTCCCATCTGAATATCGTCATTGCTGGGATCGCCCGGCTGGGATCGCCCGTGCGACGGTGCGACGGTGCGACACCCAAAACGCTGCGACACTGAACGCTGGAGAAAGGCACCAGGGAGTTGCGACGTTCAGCTCAACGAAGGCAGAAAACAACGATGAAACTGATAGTCCCATGATGATAGTCCCATGATAGTCAACTGAAATAAGCTCCTGCCCGATAGTCCCATGATAGTCTGGTCACGATGCCTGAAATGTTCTCCACCCAGCTCTACAAAGCATGCTGGTGCCTTCCTGAAGAAGTGCAGAATTCCCCACTGGATTCCTTTGGATATGGACTTCTTTTGAACTCCGAAAACAGCGATGTGCAACCCCAAACGGGAGAACCTCTCCCGGTGATCTTCAGTTGCCCAAACTGCATGAACTAGAGTTCACTAGCACATGACTATACATGACTGCCGTGTTCCCAACCAAAAATGCCTCCGACCATCACCGTAAAAGCCGCCATATCTTTTTGGGCGAATGCCGCGGAGTCCGCAGAATCGGTTGCCCGATCACGGCCCATCTGGAATTCGCCTCCGTTTCGTTCGGGCAAGACGAGACCATGGTTTTCATGAGTGAGGTGAGTGAAAAGCAGCTCTGTTCTAGCACCCAAAAAAGGGACCACGATTTGGACAGAGACCTCGCTTTTCCCCCGCCCCAACAAAAAGGCCCATAAAGGCCCATGGTGTGTGGATCGAAGGGCACGGCCCGCCCCAAAACGGCGAGGAAGGCGGAGGGGGCTTGCCACCCGAGGCGACTCTTCCAACGACCAAGGACACGCTTATCCGGATTGCCGGAAAGGGTGACACCCGCCAGATTTTCTGGAGACTTTGTACAGGACATGAAACAGGGCTAGCATGCACCATAGCCCTGCAAACGCTCCAACACGCATTTCCCAGTCAAATGTCATGGAAATGACCCAGCTTCCAGAGATTGCACAAAAGCAAACAACCCCAACGAGTTCCACTCTGAGGTTCTCCAAGACCTCGCCGAACCAGGTGTTTGCTCGGCAATACCTCCAGGCGAAAAAGGTGCAGACATCCACGAAGATCGGTGCACAACAGAACCAAAGCACCAGGCCGTGAATGGAGAGAGCAATCGACGAGTATTTGGCTTCTGCAACCGCTTCAGAGACGGCTAAATCGAGGAAAGCCCAAAGGATGGGAATTGCCACGGAGAGGCTCCATCCTCGCGTGAAGATTTGGTCATGCAGTCCGGTAAGTAGGGTCTCCAAGACTTCCGATCGAGCGTAGTCTTCAAAGGCCTCTTCACTGCCAAACCAAATAGACACACACTTCTTGACAACCTTTCGGTCGCACATCATGCGGGCTCCTCCTTGTACATGGTCCTGATCGCAACAGGAACATCTGGCATTGTCAAAGCTGATCTTGCGCATGTTCTCCTTCAAAGTCTCAACCGAGCGAAAATATGCCCTGAAGGCAGCTGCTAGGACATAGCCCATGATGAATAAGAACAGAAAAACACCTGAGAGTGGGACGAGAATCAAATAAGCTCCCAAGCTATCCCGGTCTCTCATCGGAATGGTGGTCGCAGGAACGAAGACGAGAAACACGCCGATGAAAAGACCGATCGAACACGGACCAAGGAAAGTGGGTCTGATAAGCAGTACTTGTTCACCCGCTCCACTGGGCGCTTTGCTTTTCAGAAAGGCAGCAAGCTCAAATACACACCACAAGCGCTCGCTCCACGTCGGGTCCCACAGGACAAGCATGTGGTCTGACCTTTTCAAGATGCCAGCCAAACTAAAAATGCTCACAGTCTTCAACTCCAGGTCATCCCCGTTGATGCAAATACGGTCAAGAAAGACCAGCTGCTGCGGCCGCCACACAAAAAAGGTGATCACTGTTGCTGCGAAGCCGCTTGTCAGGGACCAGGTGGACCACCTTGGCGCATTGTCGGCATAGCGGCTAAAGCCTGGCAGGAGGCCAAAAATGAACAAAATAATCATGGTCACAGCAGTGAAAGAACCTACCAGAACTGCTGGCAGCCCATTGTAGCGCACCATAAGTGACAAAATCTTCATCCAACGGCTGCCATGCCAGGAATGAGACCAAAAGCAGGAGATCTGTTCACTCATAGAACTCTCTCCATAGAAGTCATGATCCTCTTCCGATCGCAGTGCTCGTGCACACTGCTTGAAGGCCTTGTGCGCAGGGGTGACCCTTAAGGCTTCAGGCTTCACAATCTCCATTCGGGCCACGTAGTTGGCCACCTAGCAGCTGAAACAGATCCCAAGAACACCCCCCTCGGAGCTTCACCTACGGGGCCAACTAAACCTAAACACTGGCGGAGTCCACTCCAAACCCGCCTTTTTGCCATCCCTCTTTTGGACTCCACCTTCAAATGCACATCTCCAAGCTGAAGATGGCGCCGCTCGGACGGGCCCAGCCGCTCGGACGGCAGCTCTTCGTTCACCGACCCACTCGACGCACTCGACACCGGACTCGCCGTCCGCTTCGCTTCATCGGGGCGTCCGGCTCGAGCGGCGGGGCGGACACCGACGAGCGACGACGGGGAGGACATGGCTTTGGCGAGGGAAACGAGACGAGTCCGAGATGGTGGAAGCCCCCGGAGTCTGTGAAGTGAGGCGTTGTTTTGGGGCATTTGACTGCCATCTGGAATATGGTTGGCCCCCAAACACGTTTCCGAATGTGTGCATACACTTGAAGTCAAACATGGTCAAGCAAACACATGGTCCATGTCGCAGTGAGAGGGCGGACAATTACAGAAGTTTAGACATCTGACCTTCCACAAGTAAGTGGTGCTTGAACTGGAATGGATTCAAGAACCAAAATGATTCCGTTCAACTTGTCTAGAAGCCTCGGCAGCCTCGCCTCTCTCAAAAATACTACAAAGTGTCTGGTGCTGCAAACTCTTCAAGGGGCAAATGCTTTTAGATTTTAGACTCCCAAGTACAGCTGAAATACTTAAAATTCGAGGAACTATGCCGAGACTGCCATCTTCAGAGACACTCCCATCGTTTCGACGCCGTCAGACTGCTTTCGGGATGAGCTGGAAAAGAAAGGAAAAACGCACTCCACCGACCGCGAATCAAGTGACCTGAGAAGCGCGTGACAGCCTGCAGCTCCACCAAGCTGCAATTGACAGCCCGAGCAGGAAACAGCATGTTTCGTGGCCTACCTCACGTTCAGATACTCTCAGTGAGTCCCACCCCCTGACCGGAACTGTTTGGTCCTCATTCTTGGGCCATACTGGTTGGTGGTTTTAACTCACCAAAAATAGGAGTCAGTGGGTTCAATCATCCCAAGTAAAAGGTCGATGAGCCGAAGATGAAAATAACTGAAACCACCCACCCAGCCTCGCCTGTTCGCTTCTACGGAGACCCCAACTCTTAGTCAACCCCGCTGGCCTCAATGACGATCATCCATGGCGATCGAGAAGCTACGCGAGGTACGCCTGGAAATTCAGCGCAAAGAAGGCGCCAATTCCCCGCCTTCTCTGCGGTCTTTCATGGTGGGGGTATGGTTCTTGATGACCGCCGTCAGGTGTTTTTGTTGGCTGCGAAGAGATCATGTGAAGAGAGGCGAAACCAAAGCAACCTCGGGATGTTCATGAACATCTTGCAACCTTTTCTTGGAATGAGACGTCTTCGGAAAGCCTGGAAGAACCACCGAACGACCGACCGATTTGGAGATCGACGCGACCGCTTGAGGCGTCGATACGCGTGCGGGGTCCATTCGCTCGCGAAGTATCGACTCGGATGGTTGGTAGATTTGGACCGGCCAAAGGCTCAAAGAGAGGGCTGTGAAGAAAGGTGTTCATCAAACAGTTCAAGCCCATGTCATGTGGTCAGAGTCCCAGACCGTTTCGATTCTGCTGTCGTTCAGGTCGCCTACATGAAGAAAATCGTGAAGAAAAACAAAGTAAAGTACCAACAAAATAATCAGCTCCACGTTCACATCATGCCCAGGACTCCAGGACTCAAAAAGAATAGAAAACATCCGAACAGGCAAGCCGCTACAGCAAAACGGGGTTCCTGATCTTTTGTCCCAGCAATGGTGTTCTTGCCATTCAACCATGATTTGGTGTATTCCAAGTCATTATCAATCACCACAATCCCCAGCCCCATTCAACAATCCTTGTGTTTTACCCTTCGAAAACTGCCAGAAGCACCATGTAAAACATATCAAAAGCTAGCTCGCAGCTCGCTTCAGCGCGGGTTCCTGTGACCCAAGCGTGGTCCACCCAGGCCTGTGAGTCGTCTCCAGGATTTCAGTGCATCGAAACATCAAGAGATTGGTGCAGGAGCTTCTTTGGGGCATAGACCGCCAAACAGTTTGGACCGACCATCAGTTCAGGTCGGGTGCTTTCTTTCGCACACGAGCTTCGATCTCTCGATCGATCCGCCGGCCAAGCCGCCCAAGTTCGTTTCGGATCTCTCGGGTTTCAAAGTCGAAGGGAGCGATCGGACCGCGAACCGAACAGGGCGCTCCTGGTACTACGAATGGAACACGGTTCGCTACGACCTACGAACGTCACCAGAAGGGCCTCGCTACGAGCGCGGAGCGATCGGACGCTCATAAGGGGTGGCATTTGGATCCCGCGCTGCGAGGCACAGAGCCGTGTCCAGTGGGGCGACGGGGCTCCCACCTCGCACCCAGACTGTCCAAGCACCCGAAGCGGCCGCCAAGGCGTCAACTGACAGCAGCCGGCAAATGGTTTCACCCGGGTGTTCTCTGGTGATGGGATTACAGTGGCATTCATAGAGTATCAAAACACTTCTCGGCATCTCAACACTGATAGAGTGTCTGGCAAGCTTGAATTCACGCTTC